AGTCGCAAGTTTCGATCCGGTATTGGTGAAAAAGTGGTAAAATAATATAAAAATATTCACTACCTATTCACCAACTTTTCAACTAATCATTTCATTGCACTGTCCTCCCTAAATGCTAAACAAATGAATTCACAGCCAAACCGAATAACACATAACTTCGCTACAATAATAGACCATATAAATGCCAACTTTCAGGTTTTACTGACATCACCGATCACCTTTGCTACTTTTGAAAATTTTAATAATCTATTCCATAACAAATCATATCTTGTCAGAGACTTCTGTAGTTGTCATATTGACAAATTGTACAGTAAAATTTCAAATATAGATTGGTCAATTATTACAAATATTTTATAAAAGGTTGAATCTGAAGTGGCTCCATTGAAAATAAATAAAAATAAACGGAGCAAACTAAAAACACTTTGAGTCACACTGGGTCTTCTTGAGTCAATACAGGATAAGCATAAACTATATGCAAAACTTGTTTAAATCAATTTGACGCAAAGACGTTCAAATAAAGTACAACGTGTACAAAAATAGTCTTACCACTGTCATAAATCTAAAAAAATATAACTATTCGGCTCAAGTAAATAAATTAAATATAACTCTTCAAAACTGTGCAAAAACAATAATCGGGCCTAGCACTTTAATGATAATATTATGAAAAAATTGGTTTCACAACCATCTTGGAAACCCAGCTTTAAAAATTTACTCACACAAATTACGCCACTTATTGGTCTGATTGGTAAACTACGGCACTATCTTCCTAATGCTACACTTGTTTGTTATTGTTGTGTAATTTATTCCTTGCAGGTGTGAAGAATTCTTAAAAGAAATGCATAGCAAAAAGATTTAGATCTTTTCAAAAACCGAATTTATTGATACTTTCCTGAAGGTCAACCACAATTTTCATATAACTTTGTTCCTACAATCACTACCTATAAAAAGGAATAAGGAATAATAGCATAATTTGTCAATTTTCCAGGAAAAACATGATATCCTTCACAAGAGTTACGTTTTACAAATGCCTCTTATTCTTGTAATTTAGAAGATCACTCTATTGATATCCTATAATATGGATATTTATGTACTTATTTTGAACTTTGTAGTTGCACGTGAGAAATATATGTTTTAAATTATGTACCGTAGAAAAAAAATAATATCCACACGTATAGACTCATTTATGAAAAGGAATTTATATTCCAAGAACACCAAAACAATTTAAATAATATTTCGACCAACATTCAGATAAATACAGTTGAAGTATGGCTGAATTATACCTGTTTTGTATATGCTGAAATATCCATTTGAAATATACGTTGTAAATTACGCAAAATAACCATTGTTCAATATACATGTTGGTGGATGGTTAAGTACAAAGCAAGTATATTTGAAATACATAATTTCAAAAATATGCAATCAACAAATAATCAAGTATATATTAAGTACTTTGTAATATACTTAATAATATACGTTAATATACGTAATATACGTTAACTGCAAACAGTTTTGTTATTAGCTTGCATGTAACATAATTATTTGATTGTAGTATTATTACCGTGGTCACACTCACTCACTACACACTCAAAATATTTTAAAATTTCGAATTCATATTTTGATTGGCTCAATATTACTGTAATCACACTGAATTGGTATTTTTATTTCAGAAATTGTGAATATTAGAAAATACTTTCTGCAGTTGGCGAAAAGTAACTTCGAATTCTGTCAAACTATATGCCGATTATTTGATATTTGATACAAAGCCCCTGTGTTGCAAGCTGACGTAATTTGAGTTTGTTTAATGCAAAATTTACTTAAGATCTATAATATCATATACCGTATTTACCCGGGAAGAGCTCATGCCTGGGCAAACGCCCACCAGCACTTTTGATACAATAAAAAAGTTGATGTCGTATCCGGGCATACGCAAAAAATAACAAAAAAAAATATTTTCTATTCGTTTACTGTGGTTGTATTAACAGTTGACTTTCTTACAGTCTGTTGTGATGCTTATTAACATTCTTTAAAAATAATTGTTTATTGCATAAAACAAGGGGTAAACGCGAAATAGCTGTGACCGCTGATTTACAAATATTTTTCAAGATATTTTTTTGAGAATCATAACAGTCAGCATGTCTATAAAAATGCAAATTAAGCAGCAACGGTAGTTTTCTTATTGAAATATGTCGTGGCCGTTTGGTTTCAAGCAAGGTTACACTCGGTCGGCCGTAGTGTCATCAAAAATTAAACCAATGGTGCAATATTGTAGTAGCCCATACTGAGAAGGTCGTTGAAATCACGTTATTGTGGCTTCATAAAATATTTGGTAGCCGCTTGCGAATTCATAACTGGGGCCAGCAATTTTGCAATATCAATGTTACCATCTTTCATCATCGCTATTGCATTTGTGTGATGAAAAATTCTGTCGGTGGATAAAAAAAAACACTTTTTATTTCAAACCCACTGCGATATACATATAGTGAGACATTCCAAAGGCCGTAACTTGCTGAATGATAACTTTCACTACATGATTGATAAGCGTCGAATCTGATAAAAAGCTATGTAACGATTTGACCTCTATGATGAAACACTAGTAGTGATGTCATTCTTAGGTGACCAGTAAAAAAGATACAGCCAAGCGACCCCATTTTTCTTGTCTCTTTATTGTGATTAGGCATGAATGAAAAGTGGCAAGCTGACAGACTGCGAAATCCGTGAATTAAAAGTCCAAAAATTGTGTGGACAAACAGATATGGATTCTTATAATTTTTAATGTGTGATTTTGTAAATTATTTTTGATCTTGTATGACAGTTGATCCGTTATTTGTCGAGACGGGAAATAATTTGACGCAGTTAACCCCTGACATTATAGTTCATTTTGAGTTTATGCGTAAAGGGCGTGTTTGTCGACGGAGAAATCCTAATTCAAATTATTCCTTACTGTCGATTTTTATTATTTCTTGTTTATTTGTCACATTATAAGCAGTAAATTATTTTTGTTTTACTTCTAGTGTTGCATATTTTTCATTTATTTATGTTGCATGCTTTCATTTGTCGTTCTATTCCCTGCCGCAGTTCGATCTGCCTGTTAATTTTTGCGAATTTTCTTGTTTTTTGCCCGGGATATCCGAGCAAACGCCCAACTCTTTGGCAATTGTCCATGTTCAGGACCCTGGGCTCTTACCCGGATAATATGGTATATTATGATTGGGACGTAATATTTGTCAATGTGAATTAAAACTGCATATAAATGATATTAGTATGTTTGATGAACATTGATAACAATACACATTAGTTTAGTCATATTCTAAATAATGTAGACAATTTTATTTCTCTCTCTATCAGTATACATTACTTGTGATGAAATTACAAATGGGTGAGGTACCAACTTCTTCGTCAAACAAATAAGCATAGTCGAAGGCGACGTCGTTATGGTGTGTGTTACTCATGTTCAATAGGAGAGGAGATTCATACAAGAATAATGTACCGATTTAAAACTATATTTTTTTTCAAAAAATAACTAGCATAAAATACCTGTACGACAAGCTTGTCTACAACAGATATAACGTTCATATACAAAAAAGTCTAATTTAGATATTCACAGAATGACTACAGTAGATATACTCGCTGGTTAAGGGTATATCATATTTAAATCTTGCTGCGTTTTGATTATCTTCAATTATCACAGTTTGACGTTTACAATCTGATATATAAACCAGGTGTTCAATAATGTTAAGCTATTAAAGTCGCTCTTATCATCACCGTTCTGATTGCCGAACATTACTTAAAAATAAAGTATGTGCATAGGTGAAATAGCAAAATATTTAATAATAGTCAGAGGTTATGGCATCCTTTTTCACAATCAATTTAATTAATGTTGTTTCTTCTCAGGGGTTGGTATCAGAACATGGTCGACATACTTTATCAATTCAATGGTGTCAAAATAATGTAAAAAATCAAATACAAGATTATGTCAAGACTTTATATCCATATATTGTTTTACTTATATAATTTGTTCGATGTATTGCAGATTACAAAGTAACGTTTGTTTTGTCACTGTGCGTGTTAGAATACGTATCCGAGAAAAAAGATTCAATCTTGTTAACAAAAATGTTTGAAATATTCAAAAGATACAATCGTCAACGTTTAGCTTAGTAAATCTATTTTAGTTTTCATTCTGACATCAGGTGTAAAACAACAACGAAACTTGTAACTAGGTGCAGATTTATCTTCTATTGGCCGGCATGGCATGGGCATATAATTATGCACTATTATATATTAGCCTAAATATATCTAAATATATTTATTTTGTCTTTTTTAACTGCATAATTATATTTCAAAGATTTAATACAATCACCGCAATCGACTTAGTCCATACAAACATTATGACACCATAGTCGACTTTCGCTAAAAGGGATAATATCTCAAGATATCGGTAGTTTTACAAAATACTTCTTGAATGTTAACAATTATATTATTTCAGATATCGTACATGTGACATAAAGCCAAACATATATGAGATGACATTTCACATTGTCCAACCTCAATTTCTCAAGCTCATGAATTTGTCACAGATTGCGACTACTTTTTGAATCAACACAAAATTTAGTATTTTAGTGTTGTTACTAACGCGTAGCCCAATCGATCATATATTTTTAATCGCCCCCGAAATAACTATTCCCTAATCGCAATAGGTTTATCAAACGGTAATTGGTATTGACTTACACAATTGATGAAGCACGCTGATCAATTTTGCAAGTCAGTCCCAACCTTAAAGGCTATCTCAACTTCACTTGTATGGTTCGTAATTGAATATTTCCACACTCGTTTAACACATGTGGAATTGTCGGATTACTCGTGAGATATCTTCTACATCTGAATGCATATTCAGACTACAACAGTGTGAACTGTGAACTGCAATACATTAAACAATTATACTTGGGTTTTAGAAATATTATATACTTTATTTGTTACTTATTTAAATCACTTCTCTCTGTTAACTAACGCCTAATACCACGTACTAACATGGAAACCAGTCTGTGTAATGACCAGCCTGTAATACACATGATTGTAACTATCACTACAATGACATCAAGCAAGTAATATTCTGTAACAGAAAGATGCTTCCTATGAACAGTTAAATGACTGGCACCATATTTGATCACGTGTTCAATCCAGAAAACAGCGGTTTCAGACGCATTCCTTGGAATATCTTTGACATCAGCCGATAATTGATTAGCTCTCTTACTGTACCTGAAACAGATTTAATTGAGTTATGAAACATATTGATTTGCTAATTTTATACCGCTCTAAAAATGTATAATAGTTTCTATTCGACTGCCATTGTACATGAAACATATGCACTATGACGTTCTCAATGAGTATTTATTGTAAAATACTTACTTTTCATTCAATAACACTTCCACAATGGCTTCGTACAAGTTATCACAATTCAGTGATTTCATTTTGACATATGTACCAACACCTTTAGATTTAATTTTAGCAGCCGTATCGAATTGATCAAACAATAGCGGTATGCACACCATCGGAACTCCATGATATATAGCTTCACCGTAACTGCTTAACCCGCCATGAGTTATAAATAAACGCGTCTTGGGGTGAGCTGATGAAGATAACAAATTCGAAATTACACATTTATTTGATACTTAATTTGATATTATAATTAATATTGATTTTTTTGCTCAAACACATAATTACCTCGCTCAAATATGATTCGTGACGGTACACTGTTACCGTTATGTGCATACAAATATGAACGAGCCTCAGAATGTTACAATGTTTTCAATCAACTAATGGCATGATATAAAAGTTGTATAGTTTAGTGATTATTATACGACACAACGGAATAAAAACGTTCCAGATTACATTGTAACCCAAACTTATCCATGTCTGTCTTTGTTGTTATCTCCTCAATTCAATAGCATATCATTTACACCTATGTAAATAACACAATTTCATCGTTCAGAATGACGTTGTTCAAAATACAAGCACCCAAATAATAGCTCACCTAAAACATCATTCTGGTTGAACCATTTAACAATTTTTATGTTGTCACCAACATGTCGAGGGGTTGTTCCACTGTAACTGAATAATATTTTGTGTGGAAATCTGGCAATTGTCGAGAGTATTATGTCAAGTGTTTTGCTTGGAAGAAATGTTATAAATGTTCCAAGTGCTACCACTATGACGCCCTCATCGCCAGAGTTCTGCATGAATTCTTCCAAATCCTGAAATATATTTAAACTCCTTTTATCTTTTCCAATACATTTCACGCTTACACATAGTTGCACAAAGAAGTGATAACTTAGGTTTAAGCAGAATAAAAAAGGAAACACGGTCATTTAACAGATGACTGCTTCAACCATATTGGATTTCGCAAAGGATAATAGATTAAAACTAGGATCACTGCTGATCTGCACTGGCTCGGAAGATGAATTCTGATTGGCTAAAAAAACAAAAGACTCGTGGCGTTGAATGCACGTTCATTCTCAGTAATGTTATGCAAATTAGAAATTCAAACTAGCTAATCATTTACAACCTTCCGAGCCAGTGCAGATTAGCCCTAGGATTATAGCGACGCTTATAAGGTATATATTATCGTTTCTATACGCACCTGTACCAACACTAACTGTGAACCTTTCCTGCTGTTTTAAGACAACGTCGTTATTTTTTGTTAAATTGTGTTCCTAATGTTCGTGGTTGTATAGTCGGATTGTCTGGTAATTTCATGAGGAAATAATGTTATAAAGATTTATTACTGTAGTTACCGTAACAGTGAAAAAAAATAATCTATTTAAAATCAGTGTCAGAAGACAATTCAAGTGAGTGGTAACAATGTCTAGAATCAAAACAAACATTTTTAATATATCCAATTAAGCTAACAATGTGCAGTTTCCCATTGCTTTTAATTCTCGACACTGCCTCTACACAATTAAAATGTCATCTGAAAATAATGAATATATAAAATGGCATACTCTCACGTTCCTACTGATAGACAACTTGGAACCAACTCTAAAATCCTAAAAAATGATAAAACAATCATTCCAATGGAATGACTTTACACTCGGCATTATAACCAGATAATTAGAAAATAACTAACAACGCTGAATGGAGACTAGGCGAGAGTCACAGTTGGTGATAGCACGGGGCTGTAAGGAGGAGATATGAGACCCACCCCTTAAGCAGTTCAATTTTTGACTCAGGATTTGTTGCATAATACAATGTGGAGGAAACGAACCTTAAAAACTTATTTTGCAGGCAATTCACACGTAGAATGCCAACAAAATGCGACGCTTCGAATAATAATTATTTTTTTATACCGAGTTGATGTATACATTATGCAAATGTACATATTTTGCAAATGATAGCTTTTTTTGGTGGAATAAACAAACAACTTCAATGAAAAATAATACATTACAGATTACAGTTAATTGTAATTGTTAATTGTTCAATGTTTATTGCTCTCTAGGTTTGTTTTATTTATTCTAATTTATTTTATTTTATTCTAATTTAATTTTTTCAAACAAAGAGTATAAAATTATTTATTAACACCGGATAACACTTGGCGTGATTCACCAATATGTAAGTATACATACTCACCAAAGGCAATGTGTTAGCTGGTTTGGCAGTCAGCAGTCCAATTGGAATGATATTAGGTACTAAGGGATGAACATATGCAACAGCAAAGTCTGTCACCAGAAGATTCAGGGTTGCTTGTTCAAATGGATGTCTTTCTGGAGTAATGTTGTGTTTGTGGTACAGCGTGACGAAAGCCGCATTATCAATGTTATTTGGAATCATTGATGCCAACAAGTTTTGAAATCTGGCTAAAAACGTCATTTCATCTGTAAGCATCATGGTCGTCCATTGAACGGGATAGTAAGAAATAGGTGCAGTCACATCGGCTATGTATTCTACATCTGACACAGTATGTATAACAACATACGGAATGCCCGTGTATTTTAATAACATTCGGCAACAGCGACACAAAGAGTCTGTAACTGCTATGTTGTAGTCTCTCAGTGATTCTCGAACATATGATTTGTGTAGGAGTACCGCGTCACAGTATGATGCATACGATTCACGAAATTTCCTGAAAACCTTGTCATGGGCTATTTCATTGTCGAAGTAATCCGCGAGAAAGTCTTTATTCACGTAATTTATAACCACTGGCTTCAAAGTGTGTATACCCGATTCCGTATACACGTTGTTGAATAAGTCTGTCGAGAATGTTAGTACATCGACCGAGTGGCCATGTTTCATTAGAGCTGCTCCTATGTAGGCTATATTTTGGGCGTGACTTTTAGATCCATGGAATCCGTAAATGAGTATATCGGCGCAATAGGATTCCTGAAATCCATGAATCAATACAAATAATACGGCCAGTGGCTGTATATATGCCCTCATTCTTGGTAATAGCTTCATTCCACACATATGCTGCACAGAAAAAAAGAAAACACAAAAATGCTAGTGTGGCAGAATCTATCAGTATTTGTTCTACCACATATACACCTGTTCAAAAATAAATTACAATACGAATGATGTTTAGTGAAACAAGCAGGATGATTTGTTATTAAACTTTTTGACACGACGCGCTACTCATTCAGTCAAAAGCGCTGTACATACAAATTAAAATTTATAGTGCGGGTTTGGTGTTTAATATTGTTATGAATGCAATTCATGTTACTCACCAACCGACCATATATACTTACATTGGGAAACTTCGTGTGTTTAAAAATGTGAATCTGTCTATAATGCCGCTCACCATTAGCAATGTATTTTTAGTACATCACAGGGAGAATAGAAATTATAATTAAAAGATGAATCTACTCCTCTCGTATAGTAGACTATTTTTTTTTTGCCAATGACGTCTGCCATCTAATTACAGAATAGAATGCTTGTATATAGATTGGTGCAATATGTTGAACACATTTCTCGTACGGGAAAGTACACGACTACCTAACCCGACTACTTAATAGTAATGAGAATTCGATATACACGTTAGGATATTAAGAACGAGTTCACAATAGCCACGGCTACGTGAACATCGCTCTGATAAAAAAATCCTAATTCTCGCTAATAACGTAACTTATGACATCCAGAGCATTCAACTATCGAACGTTTTTATCATCTGCGATTCTCCGATTATTTTCAATGTTGTTCCTATCATGAATTCAAAAATGACTGAAAACAAAGAAAGTGATGACGTCAGACCAGTGTTCCTGATCCTGAAAGACGTGCTACCTAATAAGCACTACATCTACGACTACATCTCCCACGAAGATATCTTTATTGCGGTCAGTAATGTTATATCCACGTGTTCCATACGCTGTATTCAGTCTGCCGGCGGACTTTGTTGTATCTACATCATCGGTAAAAAAATCGCATGCAAGTGATGTCATCTGGTATTGTTCTGCGGAATGCACTTATTCAAATTGAGGAGCACAATCCTTTCACTCGTCACCCTGGCGGTATTCGTCTCACTGTGAAAGGGCTTCTCATTTCAGCGGACGATTCGCTAATTGAGGCTTTACATGTAAAGTACGGATGTGAAATAACCAGTATCTCACATGAACAACTGCATGTACGTGAAAAACTGATTCAGTGCTATACCGGCAACCGTTTTGTCTATGGGAAACCGTTTGCCCGTCCAATTCCAACATATAACATCAGCTTGGAAAAAAAATATCAAAATACAAATATATTATCTTGAAAAAAACAACAAATCGATGACTACAATGCAGAAAAACTCCATAGCAAAACCAAGCCAATTCAACCCATAATATGATATGACGACTACATCTAATACCTGTACATTGGAGCAAGCCAGTGTCCATATTTGCAAGATTCCTCCGCTGACGAACCAGAGACACGTCATACGGAACAACTACCGACTTCCCCATCTACATTAATTTTATGATCTTGAAATGTTCATTGATTAGAAGTCCGAAGAAACACGGTTTTTGACAAAGCCATCAAATAACCGAGAAAAAAGAATAAAAAGAAAAGAAAATCCAACAAAAAATCGGATAGCGAAGCACAAGCTACGTCTAACATAGCACCATCAACTGAAATTTCGAGTACAAATGCACCCGATACAGGTTCGTTACGACGCAGCAAATCACTAGAATCCATTTCGCAATCGTCTATCGTCGCATTTTACGCTCTCACCGACAAGAACAGCTCTTTCCAATTAATATGGAATATCGTAATTCAACAAAATCAATAAATACAAGTAAGAAAAGACCACCCACTTCACCCTTAGAAGCTCTACAATCACCAACGAGAGACAAACCACCATAACTCAGACAGTGATAAATTGGGTAACCCGCATTTCTTAAACTATCAAGGTAGAATTAACATGCTTGACACTAAATGTCAAAGGTATTTGTGATAAAAGTAAATGATTCAATTCCAGTGGCTTCTCAAACAACAATGGATGCTTATTTCTTACAATAAACACACATGACTGAGGAGATAGTCCTTCATTTTGACCGTGATTGGAAAGGTAAAGCATTCAATTGTTTTGGCACTCATAACAGTCGAGGGGTAGCCATACTTTGTCGTCCCAAAATAGAAATAAATGAAATATCTTATAACGTAGCATCTGATGGCAGAACCATTTTTTGACGACTTGTGCTCCTTCGTTAATGTCTATTGTTAATATTCGAAACACGTTTCTACGTGAATATGCTGCATGGATTTTTTTCACACGAAATTCACAGTCTAATTATTCAATTATATTGTGGATAAATTCAATAACAAAAAAGATCGGATTGCAAGATCTATTTAAATTTCAACATCCGCCTTTAATTCCTATTGTTCAACACTAAAAGTTATATATGTGGCGCTTTATGAACCCTGACCTACGTAAATTCACCTATCGTCAACAAAACCCGCTTGTTCTAACCAGATTAGATTATGTTTTGCAACCTAAATTCGCCTGTAATTCAGTGACTTCCTGCTTTGTTAAACCAGCTATTCATACCGATGATCGCGCAGTTCTAATATCGGTTAAAAGTTCAGGACATCAAAGAGGACCAGGTGTTTAAAAACTGAACTTTAATTTACTACAAAGTGACCATTATAAAGAAGGTATCATATCTATAATTCGAAATACAAGAAAGGAATGTTCTGATGTCACTGCTGACGTGACGTGGGAATTATGAAAATCCCGCTGCCGTCAATTCTCAATAAATTTTGGCAAAAACCGTATGCGTCAAAAACGTGAGCTTTTATCCAAACTGGAGCAACAATTAGTTTTTAGAACTTAAAATAAATGATACACTCGATACAGATATACTAAATGAGTATGAAAACGTTAAAAGGCAAATCGAACAATTATATTCCGATCAAGAGCAGGGAGCGAAAATTAGAGCTCGAACTAAGTAGGCCACTGATGGTGATATACCTACACAATTTTTAACTCAATTTAGAAAAAAAAGAAGCACGAAAAACGACATACACGAAATTAAAAGTCGGCGAGAGAATCGTAAACACGTAAACACGCTAATAAAAATTCTTAAGTCAACTAGTCAGTTCTATAATACGCTGTTCTCGTCAAATAATGTAAATGTAAATGACAATGATATAGACAAATATTTACAATACATTAATCTAGAAAATCTAATTTGCAAACAAGAAAAAATAAAACTTGACTCTCCCATAACGTATGAAAAATGCACCAAGATCGTTCGGAAACTTGCAAACGATATACCTCTAGGTAGTTTTCTGGGAATACGTTGGCACCCTCATAAAGGTATGCTGTCTACTTCGCAAAGGAGTGCATTGTTGCGTTCGATACTATATTTACTAGAGAAATAAAAAAAAAATTCAGGTAGCTGATGATACTACGATTTTGTATCAAATACAGATTATATAACCAGAGTAATCAATGTTTTGAATACATTTAGCTCAGGGTCGGGCCTATCCCAAACGTTGGTAAACATCGGGCATTTGGATTGAGCCACGTAACAAACGACCCGATGATTTTGCTGGTAGAAGACGGCCAAAGATGCCAATACAATCTCCAGGTACATTTTTCTCTTATGACACTCGTGAGGGTATTTCTCTCGCTCTAAACAAAACTCTAAATGCCATAGAACATATCCTATCTCTATGGTCACATAGAAATATCACTTTATATGGTAAAATTGAAGTAATTAGGTCACTGGCGTCTGCGAAAATAGCCTACCTTCTTAATGTTTGTATCGTGCCAAATGTTACACTAAAACGTCTAGAAACGTTATTCTTTAACTTCCTTTGGGGCTCGAGAGTCGATCAAATTAAACGTAATACTATAATTGGTGACTAAAGTCAAGGTGGTATCAGAATGCTTGATGTTTTTGTACAGCATAAAGCATTCTTGGCCTCTTGGATTACCCGCATTTTGAGTATTAATCAGGCAGATAGTGTTCCATCTTGGAAATGTATCCCGTTATTCCTGATTCAGAAATTAGGAATTCAAAATATCGATAACTTATTTTTTCGAATGATTTTAATGATTCGAAGTACTACCCTGAAATTTTAAACCTACCTGTCTTCTACAAAAATGCTATTATAGCCTGGCACGAAGCTGGAGGTGGTACCTCAATAAATAAAAATGAAAACATTGGAAACCAAATATTATGGTGTAATAAATGGATACAGTTCCACGGTGAATCCCTTAACTACAAATCATGGGTCAATTCAAACATCAAATTTGTAAGCGATGTAATTGATAACCATGGTAATGTAAATACTATGAACCTGCTGCAAAATTTAAAATGTAAAGCAAACCAGTGGTCAATTTGTACCAAATGTTTTTCTCTGAGCTCAAATTGAGATCGTAAAAAAAAAAATGTGAAATGTATTATTTTCACCGTGTGACTTTTCTCTCTCAGTAATGTATACACACATGTGTAAAAATATAATTATAAAAAATAGATAAAGACCACGTTAAGCAGGTGACAATAGTTTTCACATTCCAAACAGGTTCAATGTCACCAGGAATATGCAATTCATCCATTGTTGGTAAACGATATATGATAAAACGCATTTGAATAACATTATATTGTAGGAATGAATATGACTGTATCGAGACAATTAATATGTCTGCCATTACTGATGTACAGTATGCTACACATACTCACACTGAGAGGCTTCACAATCATATGCCACAATTGGAACTATGATAATTGACCACGGAGAATTTTCTTGTGAATAAATAACGCAATACTTCAATTGTGATTAACCCAATCTTTTTGCATGTCGCTAGAACTGACTATTAGTCACCCTCGGACGATATGAAAAACTTAGAGAAGCGCTCCGCTTTAATTCGATATTCAAATACATGTACCCACAATGCAATTCAGGCAATGACGCATTTGTAAATTGCATTCCTAAACTAAAAATCCTGCATTCGCGATGGAAGAAATATTTCATGCACGAGCCTTTTATAGCTCGTTGTGTAAGTGTTAATTGAATCTATGATTTGTCAGGATCATAAATTATACGTTGCCAATTGAATATATTAATATTAACTTCTAACTGTATTTCTCATCAGCTGTACAAAACTCAATTGTTTTGGTTAAATATATTTACGAGAAACAAACAAGATTAAGTGAGAGACTGAATTTAGATCATGCATTATTATTACTTGGAAATTTCAACTGTGATAAAATTGGCAACATCATTTTGGATTGTGCGTGTCATGTGAAAATCATGTGTTAGACCGAGAATATATTTAAATATATTTAATTTTCCTGTTTACATGTTTGACTGCAAATCGAACAAGTCGAAAAAAATGTACGATCATTTTCTCCCAGCAGTATGCACACAGTCTTTGTATGGTGCATGGAATAATGCAGACAATTGTTCGTTTGCAACAAACCGCCTACTTTCCAAATACGTGAGAGTATTTTATTTAACATTTAACGCACAGATTATATCAGTTATATATGTTAAACATGTAAAATATACATCTCGAAATACAAATATTATAAAAGATTGTGTATATTTGGCTGTGAGGCTACATGAAAGCATTGAAAGATCATTCTGAAATAAATATATTGTTTGTCAGCAGTAGGGCCGAAATGCTGATTTTTTTTAACTATATTACTATAATCGTATGGGAATCATTTTACTATATCAGCTGCTTGAATTGCACCCTTGGAAACCCCAATGTTTTTATCAGTAATGCTAGTTTGACACTAGGACACGTTTTTCTTTATTTTAACCAGGCAATAAACCACTGCGATTGGTGCATTTTTAGTTTAATCTTATGAATGGGAATGTTTTCAACTTGGAGTAAACATTGTCAGTCAACTGCACTGAAGCCTCGCCTGTTGTCTATTTAAAAATTACATTTCATTTTAATATTTTCACTGTTTAATAGTGCCGAATGCTGTACAGTAGTGGTAATCTGTATGTAGCAAAATGTGAAATAAACAACCAGCATTTTTTTAGGTTCACCTAAATAGTTTGTGTTAAGCTTTTAATAATGCATTTTGTTCTAAATATATCAGGTCCGATTGCACGAGTACTGACCCTACGAAAAATGAAAGACATTCAACATCAATCTTGTCTAATTTACCGAATTTAATTTAAAGAATACCTAGCTAAATACATTTTTAGTTTTAATTGAAATTGTGAAGAGATTGTAAGAGTGAGATATAGCACGACTACCGAGGCGATAGCCATAATATCGACCGACACCAAAGGCGGAGGTCCATATTCATGCAATCACCGAGGTAGTCGTGCTATATCTAACATACACACCGATCGATGAGTTGCAGAGAAACACCCCTTATTGTATAATGAAATAACACCAAATCAATTGTATTCTCATTCCAAGTCGATATCAGAACAAATGGTTTCACCCTATTGTTCGCAATTTCCATAGAATAGTTATATACATCTGGGACAAATAATTCAGATTTCAACCAATGAGATTTATTGAAATATAAGCGAGGTGATTCTAAAAGTCATGTGATTCGTCAAACACGCTATCGAGGGGTAGGAAGCATATTCTTTCTTTTTAGCATTGTTGTGACAATTAGTTACCCTGTATTTTCAGACGCCAGTGAGGACGAGTTGACCGAGGCTACCCAGGCTGCAGAGTATCTGAATGAACTCGGCTTGGAAAAATGTTGATTTTCATGTTTTTAAGGTACGTGATATGGTGCTCATTGATTATAATTAATAATAACGAACACCGTTTATTGTTTTATGAAAGATATAAAAAAAAGAATGACATGTCATTTATTTATTTTGTTTCAGAGACATCCACGTAGACGCTTTTCTGACCCTGTGACCGATTCGACAGTAGGAGAAATTGCTAACAAAGCACTTCCTATGAATACACAGCGACGCAACATGTGGGCACTTCGTGCTTTCAACGAATGGGCCATGGTCCGCAATAACACGAGTATGAAACTCAATTCCGACAAACACGTGAAAATCCTGCAAAGTCTCGATGTAATGGATATAAAAGATGTGGCTCATTGGTTGACTAAATTTATTTTAGAGGCGAGGAAGGGAGATGGAAATTGCTACCCTCCCAAAACATTACCGTTACTGGTTATAGGATTACAAAGTTACATGGGCTATGAACGCCAACAACATATTAATTTCCTAACTGATGTCGAATTTCGGTTTTCGGCAAGTGTTAGATTCCGAAATGAAACGATTATCGCGTACAGGACTGGGAACTAACAATAAACAAGCGGAAACAATTTCAAGAGGGCAAATAGATGCCTTATGGAAAATGAAATTGCTTGGCAACTACTCACCTTGTGTACTACTATGAACAATTTTGTTAAATGGAACTAACTTTACTTTGAGAAGTGATATCGAGCATCGCTCATTGCGTTTCAACAATCCTCATATAACATTGTTTGAACCACCTGGTGAAACGGCCCGTATTTAAAGATGTTTCTAAAACTAACCAAGAGTTCGTCGTAAGAAAGTGAAGCATTACGCAAACGTTATTGATCCGGTGCGCTGCCACGTTAGAATTTATAAGAAGTAGTGTCACTGTGGCCTAAAGAGAGGAATTTAAAGGGATTTTATTTGCAGGCCCTCCGAAATTACTGATAGCCGTTCAAAATCCGGTTCAGCAAACAACCACCAGGCCACAACTCAATGAAACTGGTTGTACTGAAGTTATTTAAAGTAGCGGGGGTAGATGGAAATTTTATCAGCCACAGTTTACGAGCTACAGCATCTACTAGTCTCTATGACAGTGGTATTGATGAACAGCTCATTATGGAACGTACAGGACATCGTTCAGTTGAAGGTAAATACACTTGTATTACAAGGAATATCAACTTATCAATTGCCAGGTTCACGCACCGCCAGTTACATTCGTATTTTAAAAATGAAATGGTCAAATGTCTCGGCAACGATTCTATTTTGTTGAAGTTTTGATACTGGGAAACTTCCCATGACATGGATAGAATAAACAAACATTTGTATTGTATTGTCGTATAGTGGGGGTGGCAGCATCTCAATCTTGTACGGGAACTAACTGTGTCCTTTTTTGAATAGGAGTTCGTAGCTATAAACGATCGTCACAGAGCTTGAAGAAAGTCAGCAATATTTTAAATGGTGCCAGATCGTTTTGTTCAGATCAAAACGTTTAATTTTCCAAGAAGATGAAAACCGACACAAATGAAGATGAATCATTTCATTGCAACTACTGTGTTTTCAATATTTATATCTAAAAATCGATTGATTTCATTGTTCGTTTCAAATCAATGTAATAATTATGATCAGTCATGATGTAATACAATTACACGAGACGAAGTGGAGTGTAATTTCTGATATTCTGTCGATAACGGGGATGGGTTCGATATTTGTTTGACATGTAAAAAATGCAAGAAACTTCACCAATTTTTGTTTGGGAATGTTATTTTAAAGACGATTTGCGTGACGAGGAGTATAATTCTGTGTTTGAAATGGATAAGTGAATATTATATTTCGATATTTGATATTATATATCATTATCAGAATAGCTTAAACCTAAAGAAAGAAAGGACCCCAATTATGATAATAACCAATTTAAGATGGCAACGTGTTCTTTCAGGTTGTTGTAATTGTTTCCAATAAAACAATACAATTTTTTCAAGTTTCCTGGTAAAAAAAAATGTAGAAAATATATGAAAACTGTGCATAGCAGGCTAAGCACTCGAATCTCCATGCTCTTTAATTGCGGACGCGTGTGAAAACCAGATGACGCTATTCCTAATTTCTCTCCCAGAATTAAACGGAATCGAACTGAATCTAGGTCTATACCGCTTCCAATTATGAGGTTTTACGTCAACTACAATTTCAAGAAATAGAAAGTGTGAACAAATCATTTACAGCATTTCGGTTGTTCTCGCGATATAACGTGTATCGATAACACATACGAGATTTCCGTCAATAAATATGTAGTCAAAAAATTGTCTCGAATGCGATTCCGTGGCACAATAATGACGTGGACAAATCAATGTCGTTTTTAGTTACAAATGCAGATGTTTGTTATTCAGAATATAGTACATTTATCGAAATGTTATTTTTTTTATAAACTAGCATCTAGCAACTTAGTCAACACCATTCCTGCCACAAATATTGTCTGTAACAAAAACGCGCCATCACTGCAAGGCGCAACATATCTAGTGTATTGCACTACATATACTTACATCAAGCGAACGGGTACGTCACATTTAAAGCTAGGTAGAATTCAACTGGTGCGACTTTCCTCCAGATATTAATGATGCAGCAGGTATGACTGGGTGGGGGATGTTGAGTGGTTGTCATCTATCTTAGTTAAAATAGTGGCAGGCTGATTGTTATCTTTTCTCAGTATGAGCATGTCAGTTAATTCTCTCGAAATGGTCATAATCATCTCTACAATATAATTAATTCATTTTATTCAAACGTTATGCCTATATTTAGTTTGTCAGAAAATTGTCTGTATTTAGATAATCCCTTTTTGCTGCTGCACGCATAGGTGAATCAGGCGAATAACGTGAATAAGGTGAATAATATCGGCCTCCTGAGTACCGCTGTGTTACCGTGCATATAACATGTTCGTCATTAGTTTTATGGAGTAATTTTATGTGCATTGTCTCAGACGAAAAATATTTTCAAAATATGGCAGCGTTTGACGAGACGAATTATCCCGTATTAATCCTATTTGATGCACGAATGATCAAATTGTTTTAAAAATATACTACAAAAAATACATTGTTGATGGTAAACAGAACCATTGTTTTACATACGAGGTTTCGGAAGAGTATGTAAGGTCAATTGGTTTGACTATTTCTGATCGAATTTTTTGAAGAGCATATCAGAAGAGCATTCCAGAAAATGAGGAAATATCTGCAGACATTTGCCATTTTATTTGTATTCCAGGATTCATGTGTCATGGTGTTATAGCGCCAGCTACAGTTTATACTTGTAATTTATATGTATTCGTTCTGCACATGCTCAATGAAGACACTTTCCAACCGGAAACCATCTTGTCTGAGTTATTTATAGTTTACATGGTGTCAGAAGTCGCTGATTACTGCGGATATGGAAGACCTCCGTCCACCTAAATCTCTTAAATTAGAAGGTAACGTTGCTGAGAACTGGAGAAAGTGGCTGCAGCAATTCGAATGGTATCGTCAAGTCAAAGGGCGAGAGCCCACACTGCGCCACGCTACTCCACTGTATTGGCGAGGAGGCCGTGGAAATTTACCAACCTTCACGTTCACACAAGCAGAAAAAATAAATATGATCTGCTGGTAAGTAAATTTGAAGTATTCTGTTCTCCCCAGAAGAATGTGACATTCGAACGCCATGTGTTTAATTCAAGAACACAGCTAGAAGGTGAAACTTTCGACAATTTTCTGACTGATCTACGGAACAAAGTGAAAACATGTGAGTACGGAACACTGTCTAACTCGTTGATCAAAGACCGTATAGTACAAGGTATTAGGTAAAATTAGATAAGAGAGAGACTGTTGATAGAAAGAAACCTGGATTTAGACAAAGCTATTGACATTTGCCGTGCATCAGAACCTGTCTCAAATAAATGCGTCACTACGTGAATTACTACAGAAAGACACTAGTTGGCATTGGGATGAACCGCAAAAGAAAGCAACAGAAATGCTCAGGACAAAATTAACAGAAACACCAGTGCTTAGTTATTATGATCCACGCAAGGAGTTAACTGTTACAGCTGATGCGTCCATATACTTAATCGGAGCAGCATTACTTCAAGAAAATCATCCGATTGCATTTGCTTCAAGGGCATTTCAAATTTTCAAAATGAACACTGCTTTCTTTGTATCTCATTCAAACATATTGTTACTGTTTTGTGCGATTATGTGTAAGCGTCAAATGAAATGAAAGGAATAACAGAAGTTTAATTATATTTCAGGATCTTGAAAAATGTATGCAGAACTCTGGCGATGAGGGCGTCATAGTGGTGGCACATTTATAACATTTCTTCCGAGCAAAACACTTGGCATAATAATCTAGATACGGTGGATTGTTAAATGGTTCAATCAGAATGATGTTTTAGGTGAGATATATGTGCTTTTATATTGAACAACGTCATTCAGAATAGAATGGTGAACTTGGGATTGTGTAATTTTTATGTAGCAATCCGCCATTTTATTCATTATGATCAGGTAATAAAATAGTGTTTCAAGTATTACCAGTTTTTGATTTAAAACATTCTGACCAAGCGGATGGCTGACGTGTACATTATGTGCTGTTTGTGCATCCTCATAACCAAATTCGAACGAGTTCATGATATATTAAAACCGAATTTCATGCAATCATTGCATATTAAGTTGAGTTACATGTATCAAATGTGTGATTACAAATCTGTACTTCCACCAGCTCACCCCAAAACGCGACTGTTTATAACTCATGCGGGTTAAGTATTTTAATCTAACGGTGTTGACACACACGTCAAAATGAAGTCACTGAATGATGAGAACTTGTACAAAGCCATGTTGGGGGTGTTATTAGGTAAGAAGTGAGTAATTGGCCATAAATACCTCTTGTTTGCTTAATGTTGCATATGTTACTTTAACTAGTGTCTATTGATATGGTATTTTAGAATGCGCAAATCAATATGTGTTCATAACGTAATCTGTTCAAGGTACAGTAACATAGCTAACTATGAAATTGTCGGCTATCGGCTATCGTCAAAGATGTTCCGATGATTGTTACAGAAATCGCGGTTTTCTGGATTGAACACGTGATCAAATATGGTGACAGACGTTTGACTGTTCATAGGAAGCACCTTTCTGTTATAGATTATTACTTGCTTTATGTTATTGCAGTGATAGTTACAATTATGTGTATTGTAGGCTGGTGATTACGCTGGTTTGTGACCGTGTTATTGTGTGGTATTAGGCATTAGTCAATTGAAATGACAGTTTATAATTTAAATATATTTTTTTCATAAATATTACAAGCAATAACAATATTGAAGACATAAATAAGTGGGATGCCGGAAGATATATGGGAGTGGGTGCAAACATAATTGAGATGAAGGTTGTAAAACTAAACAGTCTAAACATGTCTTAATCAACCATTGCGCCTCAGTGAAGCATTACAATACTTGACATACTACACAAGAAATGTTTATGATATCGTGTACTTGTCAGTTATTTTGTTGTGTAGTATCTGTTTGCCGACAGTTGTCAGTTATTAATTTTTTGTGTACT